ACAACTTTGGAAAGAGCTTCACAAGTCTGCTGGGTTGTGAACAAAACTTACGCCTAGGCGGGACTGAACCCGCACCTCTTGCTTTCCGGGCAAGTGGTTACCAGTTACGCTACGGGGACACTATTTCATCAAATCATGAATTTTAAATTGTTGTTCGTTCACAACCCAACATACATGTGAAACATTCGCAAGACGAACTGCGGCTAAAGACAGTAGTTAACAAACAGAAACAATTTTAAGAAACAGCCTTCAACAAAGTGGGTCTACTAAGCCTGCTGAAAATGGAACTATTCGCATTCGACTCAAGTGAATGAGATGATGTTGAGCGCAAGGCAACACGTTTACGCGCATTAAGCTGACTTATGTGTAGTGCTAAGATGACATGCTTGACCGCAAGTGAGCGTTTCTTCTAGAAACCGGAAAAGTATTCATTTAATCTAGTTCGTAACGGATTAAATCGAGTATGTGGAAAGGAGCAAGCGCGAAACTTTTCATTCTATGGAACGTTCAGTTTTCATAGTTAGTATTATATACGCATCACAAACAAACAATTATAATGTTGCTAGGGATGAAACTCGAGGGCAATGTGCAATCTGAGATGAAGCTCCTTGAGAGCTTGGAAGCGTTTTCTTATAGATCTCGACGAGCTGAGTTTAATTGTATTTGCAGATTTGCAGATTCAGAAAAACTCAAGGCTAAACCGGCTTATAGCGGAAAACCAAAAAGGAAAATCGCGCTCTACTGGTGGATTTTTGAAGTGTTCTCCGTATAACACTGTTTTTTGACACTAAATTTACTAGCTGTAAGACTCCCCCTTTCCACCCCCTGCCCTCCAGCTGCCATTGCGGCGCCACGAGGAATGGCCAATGGCTCAGCGAATGTTTATAGATGTTAGGGATGTCATCACAGTCATGTCATTATATTTAAAACCTTGATAGCAGGAGCTGTAAGCTTCCCAGTTTCGTTAGCGGAGGACTTATTCCACAGACTGTTCTAAATTTACCACGGGAAACATTTCATTAGAAATCAGGATAGGGTTGACCAATGATGCAGGGATGAGGAAAAAACTAAGAAGGTGGCCAGAACTCGAGAAAGTGGATCATTTTGCGTTAGACGTGTGCTGAAAACATCCAGCGCTCTCTCGAAGAACCAGAACGGCCAGGAGTCAGCAAATCGGTGGGAGGCTGCTTCAGGAGTGGCGTTAGTACGGCCCAACTAGGCCGCGCGGACAGTCGTCTCGCTGCCGAAGGCGCATTCACTTGCACCCGAAGGCGCTCTCCTGCCTTTCCGCTAGGGTCAACCGTCCGTTGTGAAAAGATCAACGAGGAGCGTCATATTTCACCAATGTAAGGGGGGCCTTGTATCTGAACTATGGAAGTGTAGCGGTACTAGCGGGAAACATGCGACTAGCAAGTTCGGTGAAACTCCAGTTCGGGGGGGGGGCACTCTATTGCTATCTTATCCGTAATACCAGAGAGCAGTTCTTTGGGCTATCGAACACTCGGATAAGATAATAAGTGAACGACTCATTTCGAGCGTACTTTTGATAAGGACCGGTGTCTTACATTCCCCACTACCTGCCCACATCGCATCCATTTTTCTGCACAGGTGGTCCACTCTGGAGCTCCTGCACCCTTAAGCCTTTGTGGGGGTGTCCTTTCGTCCAGGACGGTTCCCTTGGGGCATTGGCAGGCGGAAATGGGAAAACGTTCCAGTGGTTTCTCACCCATTACACCAATTTTTATCAGAAGTCTATTAAATGAGTCGATTACGTGTTGTGAGCCCTCTAATCCTTATCTTGAGTATTGGAGAAAAAATGGAGTGGCCCCCACGAACTGGAGTTTCGCCGCAAATTCATCAGAATCTACTCGAAAAGCACTAGAAGGAGTAATAAACGAAGGTTGGGTTTTATGCATGATTCGGGCGGTATGGATCGATGATCAGTAAGTAACCCATGATCTGCCGATCACCTAATGGAGCACTGAGGGCCCGTTATTCAGATCAGATGCAGATTCACGTATCCAAACGGGGAGGGGGAAGTTAAGGGTCACAAGCTCAAGGACTCGTTGCCATATTTGGAGGTTTCATAGTAGCAAAGGAGTATATATAGACTTTCAAATACCACGGCGACTGCTCGACTAATCACGAACGAGTACATGGCGCATCCCAGTGCAGAAGTTCATAGTAACACATTCCATGGAGTACGAGCAAGCAGATTTTTACAGGAATCGCGATGCTCTCCAAATCAAAACAGAGTGGAGAACGTGCAACGCTGCAGGGGATGTTACATAATACATAGAGCCTCGACCCTTTGGCGACAATGGCACCCACCGATGGGTGCCACTATGACCGTCGTGTGGGACAATGGCATCCAGTGGTGGGTGCCACCCAAAAGTTTTCGGCACTATTCAACAATTACAACCCCAAAATCTCAAAATTTTAATTTTCGTCGAAACTTCGTTCATAGGAGTTATTTGATGCCCTGATCACGAAAATGACATTCATTTTTGACGTTGGTGCCAGTTTGGCGCCAGGGCTATTTCCACCAAATTCGCTGTGAAGTTGTATACGGGGGTTATTCGGGGTTTTGATTACGGATATGATATTCGTTTTTGGCATTTGCACTATTCCATGCATGTTTTCCGTTTTCTTGGGCTTTCTCACTTGTACATATTACCTCGGACTAAGCTTAGGAGGAGGGGCGTTCCTAGGTGGGGTAGCCAGGCAAGTGTGGCAAATGTTGAAGCGTTCAAGATTATAGGATGAGTGATTTACTCGGAGCGCTCCTTTCCCAAAGGTTTAGTCTTGTCGAGAGCTAATAAGTGAGAGGGCGCAGACGAGCTGAAAATAGGGGCCAAATGGCGTAGGCGGCAAAAGGAATATTATATTCGTAATCAGGACCCCGAATAACCCCTGTATACAGGTTTATAGGGAATTTGGTGAAAATAGCCCTAGCGCCAAAATGGCGCCAATTAGCGCCAGATGGCGCAAACGTCAAAAATGAATGTCACTTTTGTAATCAGGGCACCGAATAACCCCTATGGGCGAAGTTTCGGCGAAAATTAAAATTTTGAGGTTTTGGGGTTGTAATAGTTGAATAGGGCCAAATTTTCTTCTTTACCAATTCAAAACATTCTCAACCTATCAGGAGTTATAAGGCACCTCCGTTACGCCTATGTTTAGCACATTTTGCAGAAATGTTTGGTACTAGCTAATTTATTAGGTTGTCTCATAAATGATGTCGCTTTTTTTCAACCACAAAGTTTTTATCTACATCCCCATGCTTTTACATCGTCTCGTATACCATTCGAAAGAGAATTGTCTGCTCTTCAAAATGCTATGTTCCACTTCCACCTTTAGGTTCCACCTCTAGGTTCCACCGTTTTAGGAATGTCGAATTTCAGGCCCGCAAATGGGAGGTCCAGCCGACAAAAATTGACCAAACCGACAACTAGCTCTAACTCTATTTTCCCTGTAGCAAAATCAATCATTGATGTACCCTCTACTTACCCATCTCTTCCAAACACTCCACTCTCAGGTTGCCGAAGAAGCTTTGCCATGTTCCTCTTTGAATAATTTTCAAATTGAAATTGTTCCTCGTATACGCCATTGTTTCAACCGAGTGGTGTTTCTTTTGTGAGCACTTCTTCTGCTCTATTCGCTCAGCTGTTTTGTTTTTATGTTTGTTGGGAATTAGTTCGAATTTCAGGGGTTTAGGATTAAGGTGCTTTATCCGCGAAAGTGACCGCATTTCTTTAAAAAACTTATCCCTGAGAAGATGAGAAAATCAACCAGGCGTGCATTCCTAACATGGCCATGACTAGTCCTTTGAATTCTAGTGGTTCTTCAATGTCTTGGCTATAAAAAATGTTCAACCGAGATCTCAGTGAATCGTGCTCGACCGTCGAGTTCTGGTTGAAAAACCAGGTGTGGAAATGGAACGCGCGACTTGTTGGGAAACCTGATAGTGTAATGTTCAGAAGAGGTCATGCGTAAGTAGACGGTACATCATTGATTGATTCCTCCCAAGGAAAGATGAAGTAAGAGCTAGTTGTCGGTTTGGTCAATTTTTGTCGGCTGGACTTCCCATTTTGCAGGCCTGAAATTCGAAAACCTGAAACATAGGTGGAAGTGGAACGCGTTTTTTAGAGCAGGCAATTCTCTTCCGAATGGTATTTGAAACGATGTAAAAGCATGGGGATTTAGAAGAAAACTTTTTGTTCGAAAAAAAGCGACACCATTTATGAGACAACCTAATATATGTAGTTTTAGTATGTGGCACTTCGCTCGGCGATGTGTTAACTAGTGTTACATTATTAAGCTCAAGGTGAATAACGGATCAGGACCTCTACGTCTTTTCACAGTCTTAAGACACAAGGAGGAGTCTGAACTACATCAAAAATTCTTCTGTTCATCTGAACTTCTAGAGTTTTCGAACACCATTCCTTTAAAATCCGAGATTTCTTTCCGATTCCATTTCTAATTCCAGCAATACATGATCATAAAGCTTAAGAATGCAGTCGTGTTCTGTTTAAATCACAGTCAAAATTTTGATAGAAAAACTGCTTTTAGAGACCCATCTTTTGCGAGAGTTGGGCACCAAAAAGAGGCGTGGTCCCACGAGCACGCTACGTGCAAATCCGCATTGTCGTCAAAGGGTTGATGGAAATTTTTTGCAGAAGAAAGACTTCAACATCGGAGTTTTCCAGTGGAAATCAGCACACGTATTCACAATTCTAGATCTTCATGGTCTCTACCGTTTCCTATCAACTTGAAAAAGCTTATGAGCATTTGAACGTTAAATACTAGCGTTTCGACGATCCAGAAAATCACAGTGGACAAAACGGAGTACAACAAAGCTATTTATTATATTTTCAATGGGCAATCCTTCAAAGAAGTTTTAGAGCATCTCACTTCCGATTAGCTTTGAACATTTGCCAAAAGTGATTATGGAGGTTTGGAATGCTTTAGTTAAAATCAAAAGTTGCGCTATTGAAGAATTAAGCATTTGCAACAATTTGAACAATTCTCAAAAAGGAAGCCAATTGTGCCTGAAACTTCATATTCTGATAGATATGAAAGTTCGTCAGTTCAAGTTTCAAATGTTAAAAATTCTCTGCTTAGTAGGTGTGCTGTCGAAAAGTCGACAAATTCGTAAGTGAAATATTTTGAAGATTATAATTGTTAGTTTTTATTGATCCTAATGTAGTTATTTATGAGCTGTGCTTTTTGCCATTCCTCATGCTAGTTTCATATTGGTTCTTCCTCGTGGGTGCAGATTATGTTGCTAGATTTTCAAGAGATAAGCTCGCCATACAGTATACAAGCGGGTGAAGAGAAGGAGCTTGGTAGTTTCTGCTCAACCACAAGCGCTCGCTTACAACTTCGCCTAGAGAGGAATGAATACAATTTCTTGCTTCTCAGCCTCAAAGTTGAGGTATCAGATTGTAGGTCGGCAGTATTGGTATTATAGTCATAAAGCTATGCTTAAGTACAGTGTTAGAAGCAATTAATATAAGTCCTGCGTGGCAGTGTGAACAGTAAAAGCAATTCCGAATTGCTGGCTCTCGCAAACAGGAGAACTGAACTAGCGATCCGTTCCATGTCCCGCCTGGCTTTCAGTTGATTCCGTCCTCCGAGCGAGATAAAGCGCGTTAGGTCACTACCGGTTGTCCACCAGTACTTCCCATGTCGATGACTGCCCATAAATGGATAGTGGGTACAGAAGAATGAGCAAAAAGACATAAATAGCAGATAAGAAGGTGGCGTACTAATACCCCTTTTATCAGTATGGGGGGTCGTGAAAAATTCAAAATCGGCACAACACACGTTTGACCCTCCTTTCCGCTAGGTGTATTTCCAGTTCTTCAACCTTCGACCTCATCGTGGGATCCTTCTCAAGTTCATCATTGTAATCGGTTCATCATTGTAAAATGATTTCACTTTCAGGCATAATATTATTGAACACAAATCTTATAAGATGAATCGCAAACTCACTCTGAGAAAGAGAAAGGTAATTATGAAGCTAAATGAGCACGAGCACAGTATAACAATAAATACGCCGGCCTCCCATATGTGTTTGAACCTGCCTATCTGAAAAACTTGTCTTTATAGGGGTGTAATTTGTAGCCAAACTCACTTTAGCGTACCGATTGAGCCGCAAGTATGTTCCCCACTCGAGAGATTATATTAAATATTGCTGTAGTTTTAGCGCGAACTTCTGTGGGCATCAGTTCAGCCGCGCTTAAATAGTTCGGCTCCCATGAAATCGAAATAGAATTATAAGCAGTGAGATATAAGATGAAGTACAAAGTTGTTCCCTGAATGACCATCAATCCTGAATTGCCGAAAAGGCATTAGGAAAAGGCTCATACTCTGTCGCACATTGCTATTCATAACAGGACCTTTAAAAGGGTGCAATCACACTGCTGTGCCTATTATTTCATAATCTGTTTGCTTCCGTTTGGAGACGCAGTGCAATCACACTGCTGTGCCTATTATTTCATAATCTGTTTGCTTCCGTTTGGAGACGCAATGTAAGGGGTAATGACGGACAATCGTAATACCTACTGACGATGTTTAGATCACAAGGCAGCCCATAAGAACGAACGTGGAGGTCATTAGTGGTTGGGGGATGAAAAAATGAGGAACGGCGTAGAGCCCATGAAATAAGACCCATTCTTCGCCTTTCGGTTAGTGCACTGATGTGACTCTCGTCGCTGTTGCTCTCTTTGAGGCTAACGCTCCTTTTGCTTAATGGCTAGAGACCTGCGGCGAGCGCTCACCATGACAATCTTCTCTGTCTTCAATCTTCGACCTTTAGGGCCGTTACGGTGAAAAGGTGTTGGAAATAAGGGTAAAGGTAGAGCAGGAAACCATGACAAGTGGCCCGGATCTCGAGAAATGGGATGGTTGATTTCCGCATTGATGCGACTCGCTTCGTTGTTCCCTTTTCATTACCAACGCTCTCTCTGCTATCTAGTCACTCACTGTGAATATACATACCTGCGGCGAAGGATTAGATTGCCGGTGGGCGTTCCGCGCCAACCGCGCCAAAGGGCAAGCATGCTAGCATGGAGGCATATCGTTCGATGCAAATTGCGTGCTGGTCCGCACCTTTATCGCTTGCCTCTCCACTAGCGGTGTTTCCCTTCCTCGACCTTCGTTCTTATCGTGGAATCCTTCAAGTGAAAAGCTACGAATTCTGTTGGGGGCGAATGTCAAACGTAGATGGTCGTTATACACATGCAATGCCCCTGAAGACAATGCGCGTGCTCCAAGATTGTAATTCAACAGTTGACTATGGCACCTGTCCTAGCTTTTGCTAAATACGTATGATCATCTATGATCATCGCTGAATGGAGGCATATTTACATAATGGAAGATGCTGTAAACAGCAAAGCACAACGTTAGGGTGAATGAAGTTGATTTTAAACGTTGATGTTCCCACACAGAGCCATGGTTATACACAAAGACGGAGAAAGCAGGACAGTGAAGAAGTGCCAGGCTATTTCCTGAATCAATCACAATTTCAGAAGCTTTCTTCAGAACAGCTTGTCACACAAACTTAATTACACCCATAAAATTTCCCATTCGTCGTCATACAAACGGAACTTTGTAACATTCGGGTCTTCTGAGAGGAGACGCCTAGCCAGAGCTGGCATTGTGACCAGTTGCTCGTAAAGGAAATTTTCCTGCTTGATCAGCCTCTCTGGCCCACTTTGCACAATCGACTACAGCAGAAGGAGGAGCACTGATAGCAGCTTATTTTGCTTTCTACTTGAAAAAAAGGCATTTGGTGTCGACAATGCGTCTGACCAAGGCCTGTGCTTATACGAAACGTTTCATGAACAGAACGACCGCGTAGAGAGACAGCCGGATGTGTAAAATTATTGCGGAGAACTGATGGAGTGCGTTTCAAGAATGGAAGAACCCTATGAAATACCATTCCTCAACCTTGAAAACCCCCGTGGAGTGGACAAGGTTTGGTTGCGACAATATTCCGCGATTCTGGGCTACGTTAATTTTTTTATGATTCAACTTGAAAAGAAGTTCAACGTGGACGATCCTGATAGAAAAAGGGCACCATAGAGAAAAGAACACATCGCCATTTGTCTTGAAGCGATGCATCTTGGTGGAGAGTGCTCTCTGGTGTGAGTGCGGTGTTGAACAGATAGACCTTTTTCTGCCGTTCGAATTTCAAAGGGTGCAGGCTTCGAATCCACTCTGCCATTTTTATCCGTCGACAGTACGATCGCTCGATTTTATAATATGAGAAGATTCGCTACGCACAGAGGAAAGAATATGAATGGGACTAAAAAGGAATGACAATGCTGAACTGTTCCATAAAGAACGGATTCACTTGATAATGAAGAACACTCCTCTTTGTCCTTTCCTTTTGGGAATGGGGAAATGAGCAAAATGCGAACTGAACTAATCATTTATCAAACCAATGTAGTCATCTAACCGGTCAGGCCCCGTTCATAATTTAAGGCTTCGGCTACTATGCGAAGATGCGATGAAGCGAGCAAGGAATTCTATCAAATGAAGTGAGTGCACATCGATGACTGGACTCTGCCCTATAGCGTCACATGCGAGATAGCGTCTGCATTTCAGCGATCGCGCGAGGCGAAGATGCGATGGGGCGCTGAGGCAACCGGCGTGGAAGGATTTGATACGTATCGACAGACAAGATTCAAGTCTATGGATAAACCACCAGTTTTTGTTCGTGTTGCTGCTACTGCTTTGTTGCCCTTTGAGCTTTATTTATTAACGTACAGCCTGTATAATCTATTTTTGGTAGTCTTCCAAGCATTGTTGTTGTTGCATTATTTTCCTCGTAAATTCTTTTGACGTTGATAAATTAGACTGACGCGGTGCGCCGCATGCGTCCTTTCTGCAAACGTGCTACCAATCGCTCCATCGCCTCACCGCATAGCCGGAGTCTCAAACTAAGAACGGGGCCTCAGTGAGACAGTAATTCAATATCGTTCCAGTTCATGAGCAGTCATAGTTTGGGAGCATTATCAAGAATACCCAGCTGCTATTGAGGAAAGGACAACGACTTTTTAGAGAAAAAATTACTACTTCGAGGTATCATCTCTTTTCCTGCTACTTTCCCCACTAGAAAATTCGAACGCTCACGCTCACATAAACGATAAATACCTTCATGCCATTCAGATTTTGGAACAGCAAAGCGGCAACTACAATGATGCATGTGCCCATAGATAGTATGAACACCAGTCTGCGTCCTAGCCAAGGAAGCTTATCGTCAGCGAAGCCCACGATCTGAAATGCATTTTGACAGAAATAAATTCTAGTTCCGAAACTTGAAAATGGAATCAAAGAATATGTAGCTAGATGTCACGAGAAAAAAACTCGGGTCAAATGCAGAATTCTAACAACATGTTGCTCAGTCTCAGCCGCTCATGCAATCGATCTGGTTTATTGAGGAAATAGTTAGCACCTGATTCTGGGTCACAAGCTTTGCGGTTTTTTTCACGCTTATTTAGCATTGAATTAGTTTCATCTACAAGGCAACAATTTTCACACACTTTTTCATAGCTTGTGTATTTCTTCGAATACTATAGCCCATGCAAAATCAGTGAAGGTTTTTGATGTTGCATGGGTATAAGTTGAAATAAAAATCGAAAGCTCCTAAAGCTGCATGCTCCTGACCACAGAGCTGGCGTGAAACAGGAAGTGATAGAAGGTGTTGACATTGCTACCGTAGTCAGAAAGTATTCTCCATTGTCATCCACCTGCTTGCTCCATGCGAGACAACATAGGTGCATGAGCCTTCTCATCGAATGGTAATGTTCACCTCTAGCTCTTCAAAAGAGATATATTTTGAGAGTGCGAGAAACTCAAAAATCTTCCCGTCTTCTATTGTATGTGGTCGCCATGGGCAAGACACATTCTCGTGCTCACCTGCTGACTGCATGACTGTGAAAATTTGTGGTAGCTTCACCCCTTCGACCAATGCTCGCTAGTTATTGTGTGCGTACTTGCTGCGATAGACCGCTTTAACTCTCTTTAGACATGCTCGGTAAGAATTTAATTGGTGAAGCGGGCAAAGCAAATCACCATTGTTTTAAAGTCTCGCTCATTTGCGCTGTTCAACTGAGGCCCACTGCTGTTCAAAAAGTTGAGGGGGACACTTTAGGAAGACTCATATAAGAAAGACGCCGTTGGCGCTGTAGCGATGGCCGTGGGTATACGGTGCTCACTGGTTCAATGGTCTGAATTCACACAGTTTTATCCTCCCCTACACCATAACAGGACGATCAACTGAACAATTATGTTCAATAGTGTTTCTGTTCGCCTCACGAAATTAGGCACAGGCGATATACATAGCTGAAACTGCTTTTCTTCTTTATATAATTCGCTAAGTATTTCTGCTGTGTCTGTGGATCTGTATGTTAAGAAAATATTGCGCGCTGCATTTCACATATGTGCTATATAGAGGATGAGAAGGGAACCTCATACTGGGCGGAAACAGAAGGTGGTAACAGCTGATAAGGAGTCGAAAAATGTAGGACGCAAATGTCGCAAAATTCATGAGCCAGCGCAGCAAAGTGCTAGCTCCAACAAGTGATTCGGGTAGGGGGATGGGAACATTTATGGGAGTACGGAGGGGCTAATAAGGGACTTATCTCAGAAGCAGTGAGGCTGGCTCTTCCTAACGAAACTAGACGGGGATGTTTTTGGTGTTACACAAAGTGATAACAACTGATAGGGGCTCAAAAAAGTGAGTAGCCTTTAAAGAAGTCCTTTGAATTTGTTTCCTTTTCACATACACAGTATTTGATCAATGCAGAGCACGTGCCTGACCACTGGTAGGAGAAGCGGTAGCATTAGTGTTAATGTCACAGGCATCAAAGATGATTAAACCGTTAATCTACAGGGTGACCGAAAAGTATAGGACGCGGCTTTGAACGCTTGCTGGCACACCGAGCCGTTGAGTATTTTCGGAGTGTTTCAAAACTTTTCAAAAGTATCGAAGCTATGTAAGAAGCACCACAAGTCGTTTGGTCCAAAGTTTTTCTGAACTCTCGTTATGAAGTTATTTTGCACCGAAAAGCTACCAAAAGGCTGCCCGACGACGGTTTCTGAAATCGCAACTTCGGAAAGCGACTCCATATTCCCTCTTTAGCTCTTTCGAAGATGTTAGGTGCTCTCGAGATTCAAGCACACGTCATTGGGATTGCGAAAAGTGGAAGTCCAAGAACTGTGCACACTCAGAGGATTGGGGGCAATCACCTAGAAGAGGATGGCTCACAGCAATGAAGCCAGCGAAGTCACATCGCTTTTAATCTCAGGATATGCCGTCACTCCTTCGAGAAAATTTTGGAAAGCAATCATCATTTGAGGAGATTACCGTCTATCTCTACGATGGCTTTTATCAGAGTAACACGAATAGATTCAACTGATAAAATGCAAAATGTTTCTGCACGAGCTCGAGGTGCGCCGCGTCTCTCTCACGGATTGGATCAATGAGAAACTTTTCGAACTAAACTTCTTTGCGACCGCCAAAGTCAGAGGCAGTTGTTGCCAAAAAGTGAGAGCAAGTCTCCGAGATAGTTTACATCAAACTTTTTCCCGAACGCGTGGTAGTTTGTAACGGGGTAACATCCAAAAGTGCAGCTGCATTGGAGTTCATATTCCACAAATGTCAAAATTAAGTCAGGTCTTCCAAAGGCCTTGATCAGGTACGGAATGTTGTTGGATTCACAAGCATTTTGCTCAATGATCGTTGGTTCTTCAATGAACCTGGGCTAACTAATACGCGTTCGATTCGACCAAAGCCATCTTGGGTGCTCACTTCCCGGGCCACTGGTGCAAGGAAATGTGTCCTTCCTCCTCTTAGGCCCTTAACCCGATGGATTCCTCTATGTAAGGATGTTGTCGAGCAAGAGCTCATGAGACATCTCCAGTTCGGTGGGTGCTCTAATGCTAGCGCTTCAGAAGAGGTGGGACGACATCGCTGTTGGCTACCTGTGGTGCACTGCTGATTTTGTTATTGGAACTTGACCTGTTTCCTGATCGAGTCTCTTTCCTGCCTTTTACACACAAAAACGTGGCGTCCTATACTTTTCGGCCACTCTGTATGTACCTCAGAATCCAAAACAAGGTGTTTGTTTACTGAGGTGTGGTGAGCACTGAAAAGGGTCACTTTACCGAGAGTGTTAGGACTATCTTTCGTTTCGTGAGTGGGGCGTTCACTTCTGCAATTTGTATCAGGGGGGCTTGGATGGAGAGCCAGGTGGTAGACGATAGAAGGCGATTGCGACAGATAAGACCTCGTTACTTTGTAACATTTCGTGGATGGGATGCGTATGCATGAAAAGGTACCTCATGTAGTAGAGTATGTCATCATGAAATGAGGTTGAGATGGTATCTGATTGTTTCTTAATTCTGTTGTGGATTAATTTTCCTCCTCCCCTCCTCATCCTCTTCTCGTTCCACAGCCTCCAGCTGCCACTGCAGCACCATGTAAAATGACCGACGGTGTGCTCAATAGGTATTTATACAGCCGTTTGGGTGTTATCACATGCATGCTATTGCAAGTCGTGATAGCTCAATTACTGTGCGCTACCCAACTTTGTTAGCGGTTTGCTAACTCCATGAGCTTCTTTACTGCTTCATATTTCGGACGAAGAGACCAACGTATATATTCACATGCATATATTCATGCAGGAAGACAGACACAAATACACACAAGCGACACACCAAGTTAGGGGTTAACACAATGAAAAAGGTTAAATCCATACCACTCGTACGATCGACGCTAATGCTGCATTCACGAACTGTCCTATCCACAGATTTCTTGTCATATCTTCACTGTTCAAATCAAGGCTATACGTACTCAGACCAGCGCAGAACCACCTCAAATTGACACATTCTAAACTTTCATTCTTTGCGAAATGGCTAAGAAAACTTCACACAATCGCTGTTTATTGTGCAAAAATTATCACAAAGATACTGAATCATCGTCGAAGGCTTTGCTTCATCTTGGACATACTTTAGGCCATTGCGGGTACACGAACACGCTTCACCAATGCTATGTTCCACCCTGGCAGTAGCGCATTGCACTTAATCTAGCGTTATGTGCAGCTTGCCCATGAGTACGGGCGCTAGTCTCATTTTACAGAAATTCCCTTTTTATGTGCTACTGATTCAAATTGAAGTGACTGATCAGTTCTCCGATGAAGAGATTCCCATCTGATATTGAAGAATTACCCTAGGATATTTTCCCAAGAGTAAGAAAGGAAGTATGAAAGGATCTCTGCTGCCAAAAAAGAGCCTCTCTTTTTCATCGATCTCAAAGTAAGCTCGACTAAGAACCAGGCCTAAACAGTGAGGTTAAGATATGAAGGAAGAAAAGCCCCAATATGATTTTTGATGGGATGGGCTCGGCCATGGAGCGAAAACAAGTGACGCCTATGTTAGGTTGTCCAATAATTAGTGAATCACTTTGGCTAATATACGTACATATTGCACAGCACGAGGAAGTTTTTGCGAAGCTCGGAGTCTTGAAGCATATCTAGCAAAGACATTTGAGGAGGTTGAGGCTTAGCTTTTTCCTTGTCTGAAAAGGAAATGCTTTAGCACGAAAGCACAGTGGAAATGTCGTCATGTTGTTATGCATTGGATGGTCCTACTAGTTTGTTTAGTTTGTGGCTTTTTCAGCAAATATTTGTTAAATCTCATGTTCTTCATCATACCAGCTATCGCTTGAAAGAGATTTGGCTGCTCTACAAAGCTATATGTTTCGCTCCAACATTTTTTTCGAACACGTTGGAATTGAGGCCTGCGAATTGAGAGATTCACTCGACGACAATTCACCAAAATTGCACGTCGTTCCAACTCTATTTTTCTACTGGAGAGATCGAGCAGTTATGTACCCTCTACATAGCCACGAGCTCCTAAACATTCCGATAATAGGTTGCCGAAAGGCCTAGTATGTTTTGTCTAACCTGGGTCTCTCATTGCCCGTTAGACGTTCATGTTTTCCTAAAACTTTCCTTCGGAAAACCAGTTGTTCAATGGCTTAAAACGTTGGCGAGATCGTGTATTTGGCATTTTGCACCGCGCGGGACAGGAACGATTTTGCGAGAGCGCCGTCCTCACCTCACTTAGATTACTTCGGTAAGGATGAAATCGTGGAGTTACCTATATAAATAGCAGTGGAATTTTGTTTAGAAGGACGTATAATGACTATGAGGAAGTAAAAAACATCCACTTCCGTTGCGAATGAAATGAAAAGCATTTATACTTTAGGTTTCTCATCAATTACAAATATTTCGAAACTCAAAGAGTTTGTATTAACTTCTCCTACAATGAATGTTCACGACAGTGAAAGGAAAACTAGGAAAGAATTGAACTGAAAATTCTAGGGTTTAGAAAATCTTTGCTAAATCAAGACATATTTATCAACTTTGGCGGCCATGTGTTTTACAGCTATGCTGATGTATTATATACTAATATAATATGATATATATTGAAGCAACAATCCAGGAACGAATTCGCGGGTAAGGA